GAAGATTTCTTACTGTACAGATATATTAAGAGAAGTCAGAAAATTGGACATATGAACCTTTATATTTTCCATTAATAATACAGTAGTTTGATAGCAGTGTATAAATCACCGAGTTAGAACACTTTAAAATGAAGTTCTGGCACTCCCACCAGTTAAAGTAGCACTGTTATTTATAGATATTACATGAAGCCTGATGTTATGTTTAAGTGAGCGTTAAACAGTTCAGGCTGTTGTATTGTTGCTATGCACCAGAGAACCTCTGTCAAAGTGACTTTGGCACCGCTGCGTATCCGCCTTTCTCCCTTTGTCTTAAAAATCTTTTGCTTGTGTTTGTAGTTATCCATGTGTTCAGCAATGGAACAGCCTATTGTTAGTGAAACAAGGGCAAAGTCACACTGGGATTTTTAGAAAGAAAAAGCCAGTTCTCCACCTTGCCTAAAACTTTGTTAAATATTAAACTGGCCATACCAAGGAGTTCAGTAAAAACAAACATTGAGGATTTGCAGAACTTGAACCTAATAAAGTAGAAAGTTAATAGTCAGGTACGGAGTGTTTTGTCTTCTAGAAAAAGCAGCTATGACAATGCACAAGTGGAAATCAACGGTGCTTTGAAAGGTTTAACTAAAGAGAGAATGAAGGTGCAGGCCTGCAGAACTCCAAAATTTAACCACAGAGGTCTTTGCTGTGACTTGAAGAGAGCGTGAGCCTCTCTGGCACTCAGGGTGGAATTGATCCTGACTACATATATAATTCCTATGAATTGTCATGTTTTGATTATAATGTATGTATTTTTTATTATGTACAGCTCTAATATTTCAGAGCCCCCCTGCAAGTTGCTGCATTCTATCCTACTGCGTGCCAGAAAGGGTCAGAAAATCTACAGCGAGATGCTGTGGAGCATACAGCAGTGCTCTCTGTCCCCTCCCTGTAGGTCATCTTTTGAAATCACAAGCCTGTGAGCACTTTGCCAGAGCTTGGGTACCAGCTCTGTGAGAACAGAGCTGCTGGCAGATCCAACAGTATGTATTTCTCCTTGTGTGCTTGGTCTTTTCATCTTTTCATTGTTGAACCTGTCTACTCATTTTTAAAAGAATTTGGAAGCATAACTACCTCCTTTCTGCAGCCTCTTCCCTACAACAAATCTTCAGTCCACAGTATTTCCAAAGGAAAGCATCAGTTAACGGCAACCTATCCCCAAGCTTTGATACCAAAGGGAGAGAGTAAAAAGCAAATTATAAAGTACGAACTGCGGGAGGGCTCATAGTGATGGCTGGAGTTGAGAGGGTGAGAGGCTTAGGCTGAGTGTGAGAATTCGTACCCACCTTGCTATTACTTGTGTGCCACAGTAAAAGCTCTGTTTGCAAAGGAAAAGCCTGTGGAAATTTTTAGGGGCTGATGTTTTTCTTTAAATGATGCCTTTGTGTTTGAAAACTAGAGGATCTGTTTAAGCAACCAAAAGTTAATAAGTAAATAAACAAGTTAGGCTTCTTCCACAGTAAAACAGAGCTTAGAACCAAATTCAGTCTGAAAAGTTTCAAAGGGAATAGGGAATAAAACAGAGGAAAAAATCAGAAACTCTAACAGTTGTCTTCCTCCCTGTAATCCATGCAATCTTGCTTGATATAAGAATTGACTAGCTTTTAAACAAGGAGGGCTAGTCAGAAAAAATCAGTGTTCACTCTGAAAGAGAAAATATGCCTAATACTTGAAATTCTGTAACACCAGGTTGAAGAAAGCTTAAAAAAAAAAAAAAGGCAATTCATATAGATTATAAGCAGGCAACTATTAGTGTTACAGACAAACAACAACAATAAAAACCCACTCACCTCTACCAACAAAAAATGCTCTTTGGTGTTGTAGTGAGAGTAATAAGCCTTTGCTAGAATTACTGGAGTGTTAATGGCATGCTTCTGGCCTACAGAAGGATACAAGTGGTCAATAAAATCTGTCTGTAGGCTGGTGTTCAGATGGTAATCATGAAGATAAGAGTCTGAGGCAAATCAAACAGCGAGAAAGAAGGAAGAATAGATAGTGGAAAAAAAAAGTCTTGTAGAACAACTGTAGGAGTTTTACAAAAAGAAAAAACAACAGTGTGGTGTATGTTCTGAAATAGCTATTAGTATACATTACTGGTCTATTTTCTGGTTTGGGCATTGAGCTTGAGTTCATTCACTTCAATTGAGATAGAGTGGGTCCACCTTCCTTCACTAGTCCTCAATGCCCAAATTGTTATTGCTTAGGCCACAGCAATACAATACTAACTTGCGTATTTTATAGCATGGGTTCATGCTTAAGAGAATTTTTATTTTATCATACGGTCATTGGTAAACCAACATTGTCTCTCAAACTGATGAATAGTCATCTTCTCCTCTAGTATGCTCTAAGTAATTCAGGAATTACAGGTGATTTGTCTAACAACTCTTAGGAGAGTTTATACAGATAAATCCTGATCAGTAGTGATTTTAAAGCTGGGCAGAGTTCCAAGAAGCATCATTCATGAATACAACATTAATAGAAGCAGTAATGAGACCAAAGAAAAGGAAGCGATTGCGGTGTTTATACTTATTCTTTCTTCAAGCAAGCTGAAGAGTGGTTGCTATTGTTATTTTTTAACTACATGGTGCAAACAAGAGCTAGCTGATGTTTTGGGATTCAGCAGATAAATGCATGTTAGCAATATACTGGAAGTTACATTGCAATTTGTGTGAAAATATGAAAGTGCTATTAATCTTCAAAACCATTCTTCCACCATTCCCATTTTTATATCTTCCTAAGTTTTCAGGTTAGCAGCTATTTATCTAGAATGAACTACAGTAGCAGAGTGACTTGTTCAAAAGCACATGCTTGTGAGGTGCAAATTTCTGAATACTTTCTACTCAGTGATGCTGAATGTCTTTATACTCAAGATGTTATTCATTAATTATATATTGTACATAGATAGTAGTCTTAATATTAAAAACAACAACAAAAGCTAACAACTGGGAATATGGAATGCTTTTTGCTATTTCAAATACTGAAAGGCATTAATATATACATATATATATATCTTAAAATGACCTGATTTGAGAAAATTTGGTGAACCAGCCAGGTAGACAAAATAAGTGTGTAACTGTTATATTGCTTCTTCATATAGAGGAAAAAATAAGAAAAAGTAGGATATGTGGATTAATACCAGGCATAATTACAGTACAAAAGCGTTGGTGTTAAAAAAGGCTCTGTTACCTTAGTGCACCGATGTGGAGGAGGATAACCTTTTTTTCCTTTTAATGAATTTATTTTATTAAATTGTGTAGTGTGCAGTAAGAAAATTCAACAGACAGTGCAACCTCTTAGTATTCATTCTGACTTAAGTTTATCTGTGAACTAGCATGCTGCACTGATCTGAGCAGGGAAAGGTATTTGCATCTTTTTGAGAGGGTAAAGAAAGTGTGAAACAATTTTTCATCTTATCCCTGGAAGATGATTTAAAAGGTAAGGGTGAAAGCACAAAGGTTAGCACAAAGGTTAATGGGTCCACAAACTCATTATTTTCCATAAAAAGTATTGGTGAAGCAGATACCCGCACTGTATATTACAATGTCGCATCTTTGCAATAGAAGCATTGTCCCATGCTGTTAGACATGTCTGTAGTTGCTTGGTTGTTACTTTCTGACCAGTCACATCTTAATATCTCTTTTTGATTTACATGGCTTAATATGGTTGTAATAAAGCCAGGACACAGAATAAACAATCATGGTTTTGCTTGCCTCTGATTACAAAAAAGACAGTATGGAAACGTGGGGTTGTTTAGTGTCTTTTGTTGTTGGTGGTGTTTTTTTTTTTGACTTTGAAAAAGAATTCTCCACTGACGGGAGTAGCTACTCCCATAACCATCTACTGCTGTGATCTGTGTGTTACCAAGCTAGACGTATCTGTAGAGGAGAAAGAAAAACAGAGAAGTGTTTCTTTCTTCATCACCCTTGGCAACAGGTGTCTATGCATTTCATTTTTGTAAATGCATTTTTCAAACTCCATAAAAGCTTATGCCTATGACCTTGAAAAGCAGAATGCAAATGCAAGTCTGTGGATGTATACACTTCTGGAAATATCTGGATTTTATGTCAGAGACAAAAGTTTCCTATAGGGATGTGAACACTGTTGTAATGCTTCAGATTGTCAGTGTTTAGTGAGCTAGCCTAGTGTTTAAATTTGATTTAGAAATATGTTTTCCTTACACAGTACTGTATTTTAAGTTTCTATATGTGCTATGTTGAATGTATATTCTTATTTATTCTGTTGGTAATGATGGATGATCTTTTCTACTTAATGTAAAATGTTTTGAGTAGTTATATCGTATTTTCTTGTTTTTGTTCATACACTGATATTCTTGGCTTTGGGTTTTGTATCTGAAGCAAAATAATGCCTTCACAGGCTGTACATTCTTTCACATGTTGAAATTTGTCCACTGCTTTTACAAGCTAGCTAAAACTGTTCTGTGTTATTTCATAGGTGTTCTGTAAGTACAGTCTTACTGGTGGAGGAGGAAGGAAAAACGCCAGTTTTATAATTTGTTGCTTTAAGTAGGCAGGCATACACCAAGCTGGACAAATTCTACCTGTTGCTTGTATTTCAGAATCATTTACTTGGCACTGAAAGACAGTTTCTAAATACTTTCGGCACTCTTTTTGCAGCTCCTGCCAGTGGATGGACATCAAACAGTATTAAAACATTTGGAACAATTGCTCCAAGTCAGAAGTTTGAAACAGCTCCTCAGCTAACAGAGCAGGACACATTAGTTCAGAGGGCAGAGCATATTCCTGCAGGAAAGCGTACTCCAATGTGTGCACAGTGCAATCAAGTCATTAGGTTCGTATCTACTCATCTGCTCTCTGATATAAAACTTCGCTTTGCTTTCATTGATTTTGATTCCTCAGTCACAAGAGTTGTATGGTTCCACTTCATTAACGGAGAACACCAGTTTTGTAAGTGGTTTATCTAGAAAACCTAAGAATGAGAGAAAATTATGGAGGGAGAATATTGCAAATGTTGGAAAACACTGAAAACGTTGTGTCACATCCTTGCCAAGCTGGGTGGCAAGGGCAAAAATGGGAAAAAATGGTGGGAAGCTGGGTGGAGTAGGGCAAAAATAAATGCAAAAGAAGAGTAAGGTAGTTAGTTCTCACTTTCACATCGTTGCCAGTAAAACTGGAAAATGAGCAAGCTGGAAACAAATGAGAGTACAGGGAAACCAAATGCAAACTAACATCACAAAAGCCAATTTATTAACCAGAATTTCTAAATGAGAGGAGGAAAGATAGCAGGCTCCAGCTATGCAAGATAAGTAAGGAATACAGTTTTAACAGTTGCTAGGATTGGGTTAGTAATAATTTGCTAATACATTTCAAGTTTCAAGGGTCTTTGTGGGTTCTCTGGCATTTGGGTAGTTAGTGTCCTTGACTTGTATAATATCAATGGGAAAGGATTAATCAACAGAATACACAAAAATGAGTTTGCTAATTGACATAAATAAATTTTGTTCAATCTCCAATATATTCCATATTTAGTCAGAATTTCACATGGAGGAAGAAATGACTCTTGGGCTACATTGTTCTGTCAATGAGTTCTGAAAATTAGATGTGATTATCTTAGCACTTTTCATGTCAGTGTGCAAATCCTCCTTGATTTTCATCTGACTGGGATTTTGGAGGGATTATTAGATGATTATTAATATATTAGGTGAAATATATTCTTTTAAGATATCATCTTGGTTGTTCTGTTATCTGTGCTGTTGAACTGCAAGAGCAAAGTAATGTACTGTAGTATTTATTTTTTTTCCACCTGTGTTCATGTTTTCAGTGAACAACATAGGAGAGCATGCACTATATTTCACCATGGTTAAAGGAAGAAACTTGTTTGATTAGAAAAATGATGTGTATCTATAAGATGTGTAGATTTCACTCAGCATAATAGAAAATCAAGCTTTCTATGATGGACTTTTAAGGTTTCTTGAACCCTTGCTTGAACTCTGCATTGAAAATTCATCTGACTGATCACTTCTTTCTAGGGTTGAATCAAGTCCAACTTGCTGGCTTCCATTAGATATCTGTTCCAATATTTCACTACTAGCTCCATTAACAAAAGTTAATTTAGGGGATTATTTGCTAACTCTCCTGTGGAGTTCTGGAGAAGATTTTCCTATTTTAATTCTATATGACAAGGGAATAAAAATATGTTATCTCAACGTCTTTGAAGCAACAGAAAAAAAAAAAAAAAAACACATGAATTTTGAATGCAAATGTACATGATCTCCAATCCTGATCTTATGCTTCACTGCAAAATGAAAGATTAGTATCAAAAAGGCCTTTGCACTTTTTGGAAGAGATTCATCTGATAATTACCATATCCATTTTTAGCAGTCTGACTTCTTTGTTCTCTGAGCGATGGAGAGCTTTGAATTCATCTAGTAAGTACTATGTGAGAAAACGTATACTTTCATTTTTGTCATTAACATTTCCGTTTAAAAGTAATACGAACACAGCACTTATACAATATGCTGCATCTTTCATGCAGAAACTTCAGAGCCTTTTACAGAACCTGTAGTTTAGCAGGGTTTGCTTTTGCTCTGTACTGTAGGCTCTCACGGCACAGTCCGCCTATCACTCCTGAGTGCTCTTCTCAGTACTTAAAACACAAGCTGCTGTTTTCTCCTTTAATCACCATTGAAAAGGAAATGAGGTTCAGCCCTGCGAGTATGGGAGTGTAGTTGTCTAGAAGCAACCTTTGTTCCTTAGTGATCACATATGGAGAAAGGAATGAGCCCTACTTGACAGTACTTAAACCATTGTCACCTACTGAAAGTGACACCTCTTTACGAATAGCTCTTATCTTTCCCTAAATTGTTGTCATTGTTTAAATCTTAATACTTCTTCATATGTTAAATGCCATCTCAATTATTAAAACCAAGCATTGTTTCATTTGCGGATGAGTTTTCATGTTAATCAATATCAATTATACCAAATGTTCACAGTCTACAGTGAATTTGCAAGATTGCAAAGGCATTTTGGTTTCAAGTTTTATCATAATTACAGTTCATGCCCTTAGTGGTCATGTTACCTATGGAAAGGTAGGAGGAGGATTAAGTGACACTGCACTGTGCATCTGTTTTGAAGCCAGAATGTGTTGTGAAATTGGTTACTTTACACGAAGGCATTGAATGACCGTGGCTAGTTAAGCCAAAACCAAAGGCATCTGATAACTTTTTAATATATCTTTAATTATTGATACAGTGATTGTATGAAGATTTCAAGTTCTTCCACAGCTTCAGTAGGTAAGCTTTTGTTTCCGTGTCTGTAAGTATCAAGTTGGAGGCAAACTAAATTTCTCTTGATCTACTTGCTGCGTTAGTCTGATGAACTGACATTTTCTGATGAAGACTTCTGGTTATCAGGCAGTCTCACTGAGTGCTTCAGTGCAGAGTTCACTCTGCCTTTTAAGTCCAAATGTGTTTTCCCTGTATCTAGTCTGAGAATGTTTCTTAAGTGTGTCTGCCTCTGAATGGTGATTTGCTTTTGTCACCTTTTCATGGATCTTAATTATCTTAAAGGGACTAGGGAAAAAGTACAAATGGTGCTTCCCTTCAGCATCTTCCATACATCCATATCCCAGCTCCATGTATGTCATTATATATCATGATATTTTCAAATGAGGAGAAAAAGAATAGTTAACTACAAAACAATTGGCCTCACCAGTTCACCAGATGTGGAAATCCTTTTGATCTTTCTACCACCAAATTTCAGTTCTGGATTTCTATCATAATCGAAGACACGTGAGAAGCTGGATTATTACCATACTAATACATCATGAACATATTGATAAAGTTATACATAGTTACAAATGGAAAAATACTGAAATTATCCTTACATTCTTTGTACATTACTTACTTTTTATTCCAATTTGACCCTGTTTCATTGCTACATATGGGACCCAGATGTTATACAAGGCTAGCAAATATATGTACCTAGTGATCCTTCGGGATGTAACAGTATGTAACTACTGATGTAAATACACCGGAATCTCTTAAAAAATAATAATAATAATAATAATAAAGTTACTACTGTTTGCCTCCATCTGTGGGTTTGGTTCATGTAGTCTTAGATGGTAATGTCAGCAGTTAGCATTTGAAGCTAGCTTGGAACGAAGGTGCATTCATAGCCAACTGTTGCTAGTTATGTTACCATTCCTTATCATCAACTGGAAGCAAGATGTTTTTTGAGCTCCACTTGTAAAATTTGACTAGTTTACTAAAAGATAGTTGACAGAAAGGGGCTGTTGTTGTTGTTTTGTTAATGTACATGAAAGGACAAAGTCATTTGTAGCCATCTTCCTAGCATTTCCTGCTCTGGGTACTTCCCATCAGGGTGCATGGCTGTGCCAAATTAGGCATTTTAACTCCTTTTTGAATGAAAGCAGGGAAATAAATTCCTTTGATAACTGAAAGTTATCGTTTTGATCATGAAAGTATGCAGAGACCAGGAACACCTCCAAGTTCTGAATATCATGTTTTAGTTTTTTACATGGCAGGTGTTTATTTTTTTCCAATTTTTTTTTTTCTTCCCACATGCTTTGGGGCAGCTTTTAAGTAAGAGGCATCATTAAGCTGCAATGTCAGTTTGACATGTTTAAACTATGGCCTGATTAAAAGTGAAATCACATTTAGAAAGTGCTCCTCTGGACACATGTGCAGATGGAGCAAGCCTGCTAATGGAACACCTAGGAAACATTGTGCAGGGCACGGCCACGGCTTCCTGGGGACTTTTGGGAATGAAACTCTGTAGATGCACTCTTGCGCACTTTCCGTCTGGGGTCCTACATGCTGTCTTGAATGGCTAACCTCAATATGTCAGAACTGTAAACTGTGGAGAGCTAAATGTTGCAGATGTTGTAAAAATTCCTTCCCCTCTGGTCGCTAGCATGCTTTCTTTCCATTTCATAACTAACCAGGCCTATCATTGCAGTGCAGATGGCCAGAAATTCAATCCTGCCTGTAGCACAGAGAGAGCCTCTTCAATGTCAGTCCTGTCTTAATGAATCTATTAAATTAGCCTGTGCTGACACTGCACCAGGAGAGTGCTTTGTTGTACACAAGGACTTGTATTGTTTGATCGGTACATAACTGAAAGGGCACTGATGCAGAAAGGTGCTTGTATGGCAGCAGGAGGGTATCAGGTTAGGTCAGTGTTTGCACTGTTCAGGCATCCACTGGGATCCCCAGGCTCGCTCCTTGAGGGCTGGGAGCTACTCCAGGAACTGTTTCACTGCTTTCTTTATGATAATCAGAGGTAAATGGAAGAAACTGCTTCAGTATCGTCTTCATTGCAGCATACACATGAATCTGCTTCAGTCTTTCTGTCTTTGACTTCTCCTCCTGTTGAAAATATATGACATTCTCCAGAGAAAACATAGAAAAGAAAGAAAAATAATTATCTGTTCCTCCCAAAGGCATCACTTTCTGCTCATTTATTTTCTTATCTAACGATCAGCACAATCCTGGAAACAAACTTTCAGGTTTTTGTTTCTTTTGTTGTCATTTCTTTGCTCATAGGAGAATGTTTGTCTTATACAAAAACATCTTTGTTTCTTAATCGGTTTCCAAAATTGTTTAGCAAATAGGGTGGTGACACTAGCTAATACTTAGCACTTCTTCTGCAGTGAAGTATTAGATCAGGAAAAAATCCTGGCTTGTTACTGTAAGAATGGTATCTTTATTAGTGGTATCACAGAAGTGTGAAATTTGATGCAAGAAATGACTTGAGCCACAGTGTTCACTTAAAACGCAAATTCTGAAAGGTTGAGTGTTGGTGGGACTCAGGAGGCACCTCATTAAAGTGAATATATTTGGTGAAGAAATTAGGCATGCTGATTATATGTTTTCAATTGAATGCTGATGCAGAGATATATGCCAGAGAGTTAAAAACTAAGATGTGACTTAAAAACTAAGATGTTTGTTTGCATAGAAATGGCAGATTTCATTTTGTGCATTAACCATATTGCATTTGCTAGACAAATGCTTTGTGTTTGGGGGAAGGAGAAGGGAGAAGAACTTCTGTTCTTGAAGAAAATGGTCCAATATTAATTAGCTTCTGGGGAAAACAAACAAACTCACAAAAAGCAACTGAATGGTCTATCTTGCAAAAAACTTGCTGTATAAGGACACCTACGGAATTTTTGTTTTACAAGAAAATGTTGTAATTGGCTCTCAATGGAGTCAAGGGTACTTTAACATTTGTGGCCTTGATACAATTACATGCTGGAAGAGAGCTGATGGTATCACTGAGTCTGTTTGCAGTAGATAGAAACAGCTGGGAACGTGGAACAATTTTATTTTTTCTTTTCTTTTTTTTTTCCTTTTCCTTAGTAGCCACTTCAGCATTGTACTCAGTGCAATACTAAAACAGGATTTCTGAAATGCCATGAAGTGAAAAGAATTAGTTGTTACTGGGGTCATGGGTCTCTGGGAGATAGTACCATGCGAATAGCACTAGTTGACATTTGGCACTTTCTCACAATCCCATCCAAGGGAAGAGGAGTGGAGCAATACCATATTGTGAACAGTGTGATGGTGTTGCAGAGGTAAATTAGAAACTTCAGCAGGAATCACATCAATCACTTCAATGACATTTGCTAACTAATCTTTTCTTCCTAACCAGAGGACCTTTCTTGGTGGCCCTAGGGAAGTCATGGCACCCAGAGGAATTTAACTGTGCTCACTGCAAGACTTCCATGGCTTACATTGGATTTGTGGAAGAGAAAGGGGCTCTGTACTGTGAGGTCTGCTATGAGAAGTTCTTCGCACCTGAGTGTTCCAAGTGCCAGAGGAAGATCCTTGGAGTAAGTGATCAGTGGCTAACCCAAACTTTAGTGAGAGTATTAACTACTGTGTTCGCTGCATCTCAGTAATGAAATTCTTAGTCTGTATTCCTCCAGATGTACCCTGGCATACCTCTTATGTTCCCATCACATATGGAGCGTGTATATATAAATATATGTATATACTAAACGTTGAGCCTTTTCAGTCTCTCTCTAATGTTTTGATAGTGGTGTAGTCTCATTTGATCTTTCAAGTTAAGCCCCTGTTTTCATTAATCTGTTCTGTAACTGTTTGCTATTACTAGATTTTCTTCAGCAAAATGCTTTTAATTGGCAGCTCTTTGCAGAAAAAATGGAAAAAAAAAAAGAAAGGAAAATAAATAATCCTCCTTAACCAAACTGGACACTGGGAAACACACTGGTTGGCTAGACTTGAAATAGTGAAATATTCCCTATGGTAATGCTAATAGAAAGATGTATTATCCCACTCGGCACTAATATTACTAATATGAGCCTGCCAGCTCATTGCTCGCTGCTTTATTGCAGAAATTGCGTGTCTGTACTCTTATGCAACTGGGGTTATGCAGGGCTTTGGCAGCATGGTTCCCAAGTCATATTTGGCGTTATATTGTCTTCCAAAACAACACAGAGAAGTAATAATTTTCACTCGCATGATAATTTACGATTAACTATTCACAGACTTCAGGAGATGTCAAAGATACTTCTTCTCATACTTCAGGGGACTGCTGTAGATAAGATCCTAAGTTAGATGAAGAAGGGGAACAAATGAGCTGTTAAATATGTCAGGCTCCTGGTTTTTTGGTAGGTTTATGTAGAATTGTTTCTGACAAATAAGGAAATGCGCCATAAATAAATCACTATATAGAGTTTAATATCAGCAGAAACTGCATGCACAGTGTTCAAAGTAGCAGTAGGAAGCAAAGTATTCTTGAAACGTACCAAGTGTGGAAGCACTGTCACCACAATCTAGTCATCACATCAAAATAATGTGTTAATAACTCTCTTTCTAATCCCCACAGGAAGTAATAAATGCTTTGAAACAAACTTGGCATGTTTCCTGCTTCGTGTGTGTGGCCTGTCATAACCCCATCCGCAATAATGTCTTCCACTTAGAAGATGGTGATCCCTACTGTGAGACGGGTAAGAAGTAACATAAGCAAAGATTAGTGCAGCTGTGCAGAGAAACAGCTTAATAAGGCTTAAAAAATAATATTAATTCTTCTTTTCTCAAGCTTCACTTTGGTATAGATGTGTCCCAGCAAATTCGTATAACTTTGGAATTTCAGTTCACGCTAACAACAAATGTAGTAGACACTTAAAGTTTGCAGTGAGTTTCTTTTGCAGAAAAGATGGTAAGAACATATTCATTGCTTTCAGTAGGAGCAGGCTTCTTGTCACTGGTTTTACTTGTTGTTTCTTTTAAGTTCTCAACTGTAGGTATCGGTGATACAGCAAAGCATTTTAAGTTGATTTTCTGGTTGGCTTTAAAATAGTTGATCTGCTTATTTACTAAATGAGCAAATATCTGTAGAGCAATGTGCTTTTCTTTGAATAGCCTTATTCATAGTGGGGAGGCTACTTCCAAGAGCAAGCAGTCTGCCCAGGAAGTGTTTGCAGGTTCAGTGAAACATAAGGTTAGGATAAAAATAAAAAAGTAAATAAGGACACGGGGAGAAAAATACAGTGATAGGAGTACAGCATATGAAAGCCTGTTGAGCAGTAATATGTGAAAAATGTGGCAAAGAAATTCCGTTGTTTTTTTTTTTTTTTTTTTTTTTTGTTAGCACTTCCAGCTAATTGTATCTTCCTATATGATTAGCATGAACATTTTTCATTTATATCAATTCCTTAGTTTTCTTAAAAAAATCCCTTGTGCTATTTTGTGCTAGGGCAGAAATAGATGTCATCTGTAAAAAAAAGTTCCACGTAGAATAAAAACAATATATTAGAATTGTCTATTTTTGCACTGTGCATTATTTACATCTGTGTCAGAATTGTCAGACAAAGTTTTTCCATGTTTTTCCTCTACTATAAGGAGCATTGCTTTTTTACCAAGTGGTGGAAGTAGTTTGATTGGGAAGAAATCTAGTTTGAAATCCTAATAAATTCTTTGAAGCTGAGATTTCCTTCTAAGTTGATCCCACAGCTGTTCAAAGTGGGTGCTATGAAGAATAATAGACGCTGAATGGGTGAAGAAGACAGGCAAAATTTATCCATATTTTCAGTTGGAGCAGATTTGATGAGGTGTTGGCGGATGTGAAAGGACAAAGTAGATTACTGCTAATTCAGTTACACAAGTAGGGTAACATGTTGCTCCTATTGGATTTTGTGGAGCAGCACAGGAAATGGATATACAAGCAGCATCCTCCAGTGTGACAGCATGGTGAAATTTCATCCTGAAACTGTCTGAAGCCCCTGATCTTGGAGCTATTTGATGATTCAAAAATAGTACCAGAGGGATCAATTACTCCCCTTTGGGTGGAAAGCTCATGACTGGGTTTGTTCTGCTAACACTGAATTCTTGTTCCTCTCACCAAATGACCCATATGTTGTGCAGTGCATTGATTTGTGCTACTGTTACAGCTCCCTTGCACAAAATGCATGCTTTTCTGTGCTCCAGGCAGGAAACATGGATAAAAGGTCAAGAATATTATACTATTTGTGAAATTTATTTCTGAGATAAAAGGTCCTAGTGCAAGTTAAGGCAGACACATTCTGCAAGATGCTGTTGACAGTGATGTGCTGAGATGGCTCTAGCTCTCTAACTAGATGTTAATTTGAGATGTATGCATTCTTCAAAGACCTTCAGTCCAGCTGGAGTTAAGGGCCTGTAACTAACTTTAAAGGAATAGGGAGTAAATATCACTGCCAAATTTCCTTCTTCCTAATGCAATGAAGCATTCTAATTTTAAATTTGTATTTGAAATTGTCACACTGATGGTTATCAGTATGAGGGAGCTTTAATCTGCAAAAAGTTCAATTTTATTTTCTTTTATTTGAGTGCTAAAATTTAATTAAACGTGCAAACGTCTACAACTCTAAAATATAACAGTTCAGAGTTAGTAACCTAGTTTTGAAAATGCTGCATGCAGGGAGAACTGTATTATTATATGAGAAGTGTGTTGGAAGACTTCTGTGGTATCACAGTGAGCATGTGAAAGAAAGCTGATGCCCTTCATTCTGCCTTATCTATTGCTCTTTCTTCTGAAGAAAAGCCAATAAAGTAGTAAAAAAGCCAATAAAGTTAGTAACACAAACCATAGTGCACGTTACAAAATGTTGTAGTGGCTGGCACCTGGAAAATATCCGTAGCAGATTGTGTGAACATGAATGTGAAGAGCTGAGACAGCATGGTCATGAGACCTTGCCCTTCAGAGGTTTTGGATGGAGGTGTTCTACCATTTGATATTTTCACTGTCTGTCTTCTTCTTAACATTTCCAAATTCATTCCAACGGCATAGACTAAGGAAGGAAATTGGTGAAGGTGTTTCTTGCCACTGATAGCTTTTCTTGTCCAGATGATGCTCTTTGAGGTCACTATAGAAAACACTGTTTTACTTAGGTGAAACAGGACTCTCCCTGTGCTGGGCACACATGATAAATCTCTGTTGTCACTGCAGCAATTAACACTGTGGCACATAACTCTCAATAATCAAGCAAAAGAACAGAATCTCCTTGTAGCCTCCTTGCTGCTCCTTTTAAGGCTTCCTGATGAAGGGCCTCAATATCTGATTTCCCTGGAAGTGCTGGAGTGTTACTATAAAGGATACAGTTAAAAGCTTCATTAGAGTTGTCACTTTATAATCCATTTTATGAAGATGTAATATTATGTGACATTATACATTTGGCATGATAGCTTGCTGATCCCAATTTTTTTCATGTTAGAGCCATAGTGCTATTGTGTTCTGTGCAAGAAAAAGCACTGAAAGTAGAAATAAACAGGAAAGACCAGACAACTTGAATTGAAGTTTATGTCTGCACAGATTGAAAGTGGAGGGCTGCAGTGTCTCATGGTCCATAATATGGGTCTGCACAGAGAAGCAACTTTCCCATGCAAGAGGGAGTGTGAGGATGTGGAAGGTTGTATGTGCCTCTCACCCAGCTTCACACATATCTCTTGCCCTGCTCTCTCTTTTTCAAGCTCTCCACTGCCATAAAAATAATGGTATGAATACTTTCCGACTATGCTAGTTGCTAGTAACCATCCTGATGCCATAGTGGTACTTTTTGTTAAATGCAATAAGTATACTGGCGAAAGCCCCTGTGTTTTTTTTTTTTTTTGGTTGTGTTTTAAAGACCCATGAAATAAGCTCTAGTGACTGGAAGACTCTGACTTGTTATACATTGCTATATTCTGTTTAGGATGGGAGGCTAAGTATTGGATGATTTTGTGTAAAACAATCTAGGACAAATATTGTGCCAGAATGCAACCAAGGAGGTTTGCCATGTAAGCAGGCAGCATGAAACCAGGGCATGCTTTCAAAGCACAATCTGAGAGAACATAAGTAGCAGGCAGGGTCTGCACTGGTGCCCTGCAGGGAGTGCATTCCCCCTCCTGCTGAGCACTCTATTGTTCTCAAGGAAATGAAACACCAAGGAGATGGAAGCAGTGCTCATTCTGCTCAGTTGAAAGGATAAGAAGGGGAAGAGAACTGAATGGCCAATGAAAGGAGGATATCCCTTTCTTTCAGTCTAGGTCCTTTTTATACTCTGTACCTAATATTACAAAACTCAATGAGTGCAGACCCACTGCCACTGAAAGAAAAGCACAAAGATTTCTAGGGGTCAGTCTTGCTTTTCTGTGTATACTTCATCTTAAAAATTTGTGTTTGCTGCAGATTACTATGCCCTCTTCGGTACTATGTGCCACGGCTGTGAATTCCCCATTGAAGCTGGAGACAGGTTCCTTGAAGCCCTGGGCCACACTTGGCATGACACTTGCTTTGTATGTTCGGTAAGTAAAGCTATTCTACTTTTTAAACAAACCCATGGCGGCTGTACTTGTGCTAACCCGACTGATATGGGAGTTACAGCTAAAATGCCTTTCAGTCCTCAGAACCCAAACAAAAAGCACTTTCACAGTTATTTGGAAGGTATGTTGCTATTGTGAGCCTTTGGCACCAGTCCAGATGCTTTGTCCTGAGTTGCAGCCCTGTGTCCTAGCATTTAACCCTTGACATTTACTTCCCTAAAACAAACGTTTAAGGCCATAAAGGAACAGGCTGCGTTTCTTAGGTATCAAGAGTGCTTTTGACATGAAGATACTGTAGCCAAAGTATGACCTTCTAAGATTCTGTGGCATTCTCTCTCGCTGTCTCCCTCTCTTTCTCTCTCTCTCTCTCTCTCTCTCACACACACACACAATCCTGTTATCCTGCTGGTGGGATAAATTTTTGTAAATGCTGCTCGAAGTTAAGAACCTATCGACTTAAAGCAGGCTATGCTAGCATTGACCATTAACTCCGCATCACAGAGAATACCCCTGAGAAAAATGGTAATAATTGTTAGGCTTTGAATATACTTTTACGTACTACAGTGCCGTGACTAGGCATTCTGAATAATGTGTAGTGCAATTCATCTATCTGAATTGGGTGTTGTTTTCTTTCTGATCCCATTTCAGGTATGTAATGACAGTTTGGAGGGTCAGACTTTCTTCTCGAAGAAGGACAAGCCACTTTGCAAGAAACATGCTCACTCTATCAACATCTGATTCTTGGAGCTCATCTTGTTTAGCAAGTGTACTGAGCAGAAGGAAAGGTCAAAATGTCTGTGTTCAATAATTGGTTAGAATTATTATATATGCTATGTTAAAAATGGAAGAGAAATGTGGAAAATTTAGGTGTTTGTACACTATTTTTAAAGCCCTTATCAGTTAGGGATTTGCTTCATAAAAAGATGGGAATTGGGAATCGAACCCAAGCCAAACTATTAGAGTGCCTTTACATCTGTGCTTGGCATATTATCAGGTCATGATTTTATGACCACATTTATATATACTTACATATGGGAAGGGAAACTTCTCTAAAAATAAATAGCTGATACTAATGTGTTGGTTTTGCTGCTGTTCAACAAACAAAATGAGATTGGCTTCAGTGATCCAGATCACTTTATTTTGCTGATGTTTTCTAAAGTGTATCTAGAAGTACTGAAGCTAAACTCCTTTAAAAAGAGCTCAAAGCAAAAATAGGCTTACTTGGTATGTATGCAGTTCAACAACGAATAATTTCATCTGATGCTCTGATTTATGAAGCCGTATCTGTGCCTTTAGCAGTGAGGTCTCTGAGGGCCTGCAGAGTACGTATGTTTTTACAGAGCAATTACGCATAGGTGGCAACACGAGCAAACAGGAGTGACTTAGAAGAGGCCACTTGAAAGAAAGCGTAGATGGGATACCGTTCCTTACATCATGGCATGTACTACCAGAACACTAGCCAAAACAAAATGCTAGTTGAGTTGCATTTGACAAGACAGAAATGTCAGATTAGATCTTCAGTACAAGGAACTGGGAGTCCTCTGTTCTCAGCTGAAGTTTTAGGAAGTTTTCAGTGCCTTGGGAAGGAAATCACATTGAATCTATGCATAAAAGTGTTTATAACTTAAATGTGATGCTTTGGTGTTTAATGAGGGAAGCTTCTGAAATGCAACTGAGGATACTGTTTTTCTCTTAGTGCACTATTTATGATGTAGCTTATAAATACGTATATTGGTGGTGTGCCAGGTAGTGTACTGTAAACTTATTTTCTTGCTCAGCTGTTAATATTTTTATTAGTTTTGCTTTTTTCTCTCCTTTCCAGCAGATGCAAGGAATATATTGCTAAATAATGTAACATTGAGTCAAGCAGTCCAGTATTTCTTAGTTCTTGCAGGGGAAAGGAGACAATACTGCCATTATGCATTTATTGCAAGCCAGGAGATTTTGCCAATCCTGTATGAATTTCACTTCCACAAAGAGTCAGCACGAGACCTGTGCACTAGCTAATTTTCACTTGTCTTCAAATTAGGGCTCAAGTGGTATGGAGAAATAGTAAGCATATAGGGGAGGGGTGATGACCCTCTGCATGGGATGAATTTACTCCAGCAGAGTTGCACAACAGAGGATGCCCTCTTGGGGCTATATTAGATTTCTGATGCAAAATACATGTATGTGCTATTAAATTCAACTGAGATTTTAGAGCTGAATTGTGTTAGGATTCAGTGCTCTTTCCAACACACATTCAAAATGACCATTTGGCCATTTAGTGGTCAGGTTTTTTGTTTGTTTTCTTCTGATTTCTTTTTTGTTGTTTGGATTTTTGTTGCTGTTGTTTGTTTTTCTAAATGATAAAAAGAAGTTTAGACATAAATTCATGGGAAAAAATACAAAAAAATTACTATGATTGAGTAAGAGGGAATGTCAACAAAAGAGGGGGGGAAAATGCACCAAAATTGCTGTACTGAAAGATGGAAAGGTATTTCTTTATAATTCAGTTAAACAGATTCACACGATGGGCTGTTTCATTTTTTTCACTTTATTTCCTGAGGATGTTTTTCTTCAATACTGCTGTTTCATTTTTAACTTCTGGTGGTATGGAAGAAATGTCACAAAGCTGCTTAAGATGTTTATACTATTATAGATGTTCCCTTCTGTGAGTCTGCCTGAAAATCAAAAGGGTGGAAGCTGAATGGATGAGATAACAGCAATATGAGCCAGTTTACTTTTGAAAAAGATGGAATGTGGGAAAACGAGACCTAAGAGCTGGGTGTCCATACAGCTACATTGCACATGTTTGAGGGGAGAGGATAGGAATGCACAGGGTAAGGTGGTATTTTCTGCAGTTCAAACCTGGCAATTTCTAAGTAGGATAGAAGCTCTTCACTGGGTGCGAAGTTTGTCAATGTTCTTACAGTCAATTTGATTTTTTTCCTTTTTTCTTCTTCTTTTTTTTTTTTTTTTTTTAATTTTATGTTCATAATTTTTATTGGGTTTGTATTTCTTAATTCATATGCTCTAGCATTTGAACTTTCACAGTTGTTAGTGAATTTGAGGACAAGCGCCTGAAAGGCTCCATTAGGACTGCTTCATTTAGCTGCTTTGTGTTTTAGCTTTTGGTATGTTTATTTGTTTAAAATTTAAAAAGGAAGCATAGAATCACCGATATATAATGAGTATTTAATGGCTTTCTCAAATTATCTAAATCAACTAAGACAAAAAGGAAAATATTGTTTGTTGTTATTTTAATAAGTGAGATTTTAGTAGAGCACTTTATAATAATGCCATATATCTCACTGAATATTTATTACTTTTTTGTTGTTTAGGACTATTTCATACTGGTTGTTTTATTTGTCAGCCTGCATACTTACCTCTGGAATCTTTTGGCGTGTCAATGTGCATGTATTTATGTATACTTACCTAAGTATGCACGCGTGTACATTGAGACATACATATTTGTGCACATATGCATACATATATTTGATTGAAGACTTGACATGGCAAAAATCAGAGCAGTTTCATTATCATTTGGTTTTGCTTGCTTGTTTTTAAAATTCCCAGCTTCATAAAATAGATCTATATCATTCATGTTTTGAGGCAAATTTAGAAAGTCAGGAAACTCTTGTTAGTAACCTAACTACTGTAGGCTTTTGCATGCATTTTCAGCCAGTAATTCCTTTTTCTTCCAAAACTGTGTTGAGAGAATTGGATTTAACTCTGTTTGAAGTTAGAAGATCTTTATAACTAAATAATTGAATCATGATGAGTATTTCAGTAAATTGTAACTAAATGATTCAGAGTTATGTGTAAATATAATAAATGCTTAATATAACAATGCAATAAACTTATAAACAAAAGTTAAGTAATGGTTAATTATGTGTCTGTCTTTTCAGCTACACACCTGTCTCCTTATGGAGCTACACACAAATGAGTAAGAAGGGGAAATATATCCATTCACAGATTAATTTCTTGCGTTTCCTTTTCTTAATTGTTGTTTATTGTTTTACTCTGAACAATCTGCTGGTTTTTTTTCCCAGCAATTTGCTTGTTTGTCTTTAAAAGGTTTGAGCATTGCATTTTTGGCTGTTCACATTTGAAAATTTAATAATATATTTCTTAAAAGCCACAATCAAAAAGTATAAAAAAGAGAACTCTCTATCTGTCTGTGGTTGTTTTGCAGTTGCTGGACTTTTGTTCTGATTCAGTCAGTAAAGAAAGTCATGACTGTACACACGAATAAATATTATTTGAGCTGCTTATTCTTCAAGTAAGATTGAAAGGTTTTTTGCACAAAAAAGAACCTGGGTTTTCTGGTGGATAGCAAGTTGACCATGAAGCCAGTGCAATGTCCCTGTGAAAAGACCACTGCCTTCCAGGGACACACTAGGCAGAGCCTTGCCAGCAGGTCAAGGCCTTCTCACCAGTACAAGGGAGACATAGACACACTGGAGCAAGTCCAGTGAGGAGCCAGAAATATGATGAAGGATTTAGAGCATTGTTCAGTGATGAAACTAGGTAGTTGAGCTTGATAATCTTGAAGGTCTTTTCCAACTCAAATTATTCCACAATTATGTCTCTCCTCTGGGCAGGGGCTGAGATAGATGGGATAGTTCCTCCTGGAGAGGAGAAGGCTCAGGGATCTTGCCAACATGGGGGGAGTAAAGATAATGGAAACAAGTCCTGCTCACTGGTATCTTGTGACAAGGAACTGTGGGTGGTCAGGTACTGGCACAGGTTGTGCAAGGAGGTTGTGGATTTTTCTGTCCTTGAAGATTTGCAAAACCTGACTGATCATGGTCACCTGCTCTGAACAGGGGACTAGACAAGGTCCCTTCATTATGAAAGGTGGATGGACAAAGACACACCCCTCCAAGCCTTGGTGTGATTGATTCTCCATCTTCTAAAGTTGGAAGTAATCTTCTAAAGTTGGAAGTAAGTACTGAACACTGTGAAATATGTAACAATGTAAAACTCAGATTTGGCTGATTGCTATTTATTTGCATCCTTTACTTCTATTCCACCACCCAGATAGAATACTTTACAACGTTTGTTTAAATGTGTTTTATATTTTTATATGTTCAGACTGTTCAAGGCAATACTATCTGCTCTGACAAGCACTATCTGATGCTGTACTTAAGCCTTGGCACAAAGCGTTCTCTGCTTTCATTGCAGGATTCTTAGCCATCAACTATAACATGGCCAATTACTTCATGATAACACTGGTCTCATAAAACTTTCCTTAGCTGAATCTGTCTTAACTAGGCAAATATGCTGTTATTTTCTACCTTTATTTACACAAGCAAAGGAAAACACTGCACATAGCTCTATAAAATTTAGAGGCAACTTTACAGAAAACTTGCCTCCCCTTCAGCGTTTAGGCTATGAATGAGACAAATGCAAGTCTATTTGCAAACAGTATATTAAACTCCAGAAGCCAAACTTTTAAAGGCATCAGGTCTGCATTTGACGTTTTAATGGCAAAGGTTTGGTTTCTATCAATCACAACGTCATGTAACATTTAAATGCACCGACAAAAATAAGAAATCTGTCATTCATTCATTAAAACACTGTAATCCTGTGTAAGATTTATAGGCTTAAAAGTCAACAGTGTGTTTTCACAGTAAATCCACTTTCACTGCTCAGCACAGAACAAATCTCTCTGTCACTCAAAATGTTTGCTGGTCAAAATGAGCTGTATGAGATCTTCAAAGGGTTTCTCACAAAATTGCATATAAATCCTTTTACCAGCAAAGGCTTGATTTAGGTTTGAGTTTTACTTTCTCAGGACATTGGCTAATATCTTGTTCTCAGACAAGATCTTGGTTATATCAAAAACACATAGGGCCTAATTTATTATTAGTGGTCTGGTGTTAATTAGGGGGAATTACCAGAAATAGTTTGCTTGATGGAAATTTATTATGGGATCACACTTTACTGATGGCAAAATAGGAGTCACTGAAAGAGTGCAGCTCCTTCTCATAACCAACTAATTAATAAGGTGCCAAAATTCCTCTGAGAAAGGGTTTGGTCCTAACTATGGGAACCTCACAGAGCAAATGGTTCCTATGCAGTATTTAAAATTTAAAAGAGGAAAAGAAAGGAGAAAGAGCTGCCCAGCAGAAGTCTCAAAGTGGTATGGCTTTTTCTTGAATTTATGAGAGAAAATATTTAGCTGTGCTTCTAACTTCTCATTAAAGAATTGCTTTTCCCAGACAAAAAACAAAAAAACAAAACAAAACAACAACAAAAAAAAACACAGCAGCAGCAAGTTTATCATCTCATTTGGTATTCCTGAACTTGGTTTGCAGTTTTCCTTGTACATACTGCAAGCTACAGCTCATGATTTCATTAACTAGCTTATAACAAGCTTTTGTATTGCTCTTTATTACTGCCCTTAAAGGTCTCTTTCTCCATCATTTGCCACGAAGGTTGGCATAGATAGGAAACTTGTGCTTATGACTGAAAAAAATAGGGCAAAGTACTCAGCTCTGTGATAAGGCCAAATATAACATGTCTATGGCAGTTTGGGGATAGAAAACCACTGTCTGTTCTTAATGGTTACAGGAAAGTCTTGTACCAGAATGGCAAATTATAATAATATGGAGCACAAGCAAAATATCTCTAAAGAAATTTAAAATCACTGTACTAAAAGTTACATGTGGCTCTCTTGGACAAAATATATTCCACAAGATTTTTTCCAAAATATTTAAGATAGTAAGGTATGCAAGTTGTAATAAAACACTTCTGTATTTGCACTGGAAATATCTTCAGCTCTTTAAAAAAATATTCTTTTTTTTTTTTTTTTTTTTCTGGATTCTTAGTATACTCTGAAAATATGTATTGTCACATTGTATTCTGAGCAGGGCTCATATTTTCCACATTATCACAGTTAAGTCCTGTTCAGTATTCATGCCTTTGCCTTGCTTTTTCTTACTACTGGGCAGTGCTATTGTTTGTTTTAAAATATTTCAGCACAAGATAATCCTGTCAAGGTGTGTCCTTTGTTTGTCTTCGTGATGCATCAATGAAATGTCAAAAGTTCCTTTAGCAAATATAAACTTCCTCTACATTTTGTCACACTTTCCAAAGCATCAAGTTTTCCCATCCAGAAGTTTCCACTGGAAAAGTAACTTAAGATACCAGATCAAAGTAGTAATTACATCCCACATAAACTCTTTCCCTTGAAACCCATCAGGTAAAAGAAAAGCATATAAGTGCAAATGTAGCATTACATTCATTGATAACCTAGGTGAATACGGCCTCGTTTATTTCAACTTAACCCCCCCTTCAAATAAAATAGAACTAGTATCAAAGCTATATTAATTTTATCATTTTCTTTCCCCACTTAGTGAGATCAGAACTAAAAGGGGATGTGGGCCCTTGGTTTTAGTGAGGTTTCCTTAACTAATGTCACAAAAGCTATTCAAAGGAAAGCTACAGTTTGGTGGATGACAAACAGTTGAGTACTACAGCATCCAGAAGTGATTATGGCAACCTCATTACCGTAAGTAATACTGCTTAAAACAGTGTTATTTCATTTGTCAAATCTCAAATTTTCAGTTAAAGAGAAAATAAGATCCTACTCAGCCCACTCTAGCTACTTGCTGATTCAATGAAATGTGGAATTCTTACACACTTCCACATAAATACAACATTTCTTAGTTCTTACCTAGTAATTGGGATCATCATTTTACTCTAAGAATAAATAAAAAGAAAAGTTAAATCTTAATTTGGCTCCATGAATAAACTAAATTGTTGGTGTTTGTACTGAACTGCAGTTCTCTTAGATCTCTCATTAAGAGCTTTCAAAAATTACTTCAGCATTACTTCAAATTCACTTTCATTATTTGAAGACTTGTCTGTGATACATACTGCAGTAACTTACCTACTTCTCCTGCGTGCGAAGAACAAATAATACTTCATAAGGCAAGACTTTTATTTTTGTTTTTCATAGAGAAGAGCCGCTTGTTTTTGTATATTCCTATCCTGTGCATGTTTCTGGAGACAAAGGAGGGTATAAAATAGAGTACATTAACATTCACAGCACCTATGGTCCAACCTATAATTTACCACAATTTTCTTTAAGCAAACCAAGTGCAGTCAATCTGTTGTATCACTTTTTTTTCCCATGTGGGAAAGCTCTACTGACAATCAGTTGAGCATTATGGGGAATTTCTGACCAGTGATATATGGAGAAACAAATACTCTGAGCTTTCTCTGAAATACAGCAGTGTGTGTCAACATCAGTAAAATTACAGTAAGACTACAATCTGTCATTAAGTCTCACATGTTCCTCCTTATGTATATTTTCCCAAATCCTGCAGCTAATCAACTGTTTGCTCCTGCTTTCACTGAAACGCCTCTTATAGTTGGCTAGAGGCTTCCTCTGCAGCATTTGGAGAGAGGTTACTTCTTTATAGTCTCTTCTTTCATTTTTTCCAAAAGGTTTTGTGCAGATTCTTGGCGGAGATCAGCCCTGATGAAGCCTGTGATGCTCTCCCAAAAAATCAGCAATATCACATTTTCTTTTTCAAAGCTTCTCCATTACAAAAGCTCTAAAGCTTTGGCAAAGGTTTCCTAATACCAAACAGATTCATCTTCTAGACAGTTATGTGATCATAGTAGGAGAATGAGATATCACGTATTTTTCTTTTCAATGAGAATTAGCATTTAGGATTGCAATGTCTTGTGGGAGCATTGCATGGCTCGTTAGACAGTATTATGGTACTGCAGGGAAACAGTCACAATTTGGAACATGACAGATGTAGTAACTGTAGCATTCCTTTATGAAAAGAGACAAGCTGGTAATGTTGCTATTTACTTGAGATATCCCACAGATGGTATTATATCGCCTATGTAGTT